TAGGGCAATTTGCAATGTGACAGACCCTAAAAGACAACAGCTGTGCACAGAGGGGGCACTAGAGTTCAGCTTGGACACTGGAGCTATAGAAGCTGTTTTCAAGATAACTTCATTAAACTAAGAAATGTAAATGCTACTTCATATTTAAATAGATGCTGTGCCATTGCTTTGTTTTTATATTGGCGCTTCTGTTTCTTCAGACAAACGCTGGTGAGCGATGGGTATATGAAATGGTACAAGCCTTATTTCTTTCCTTGTTTGGTTTCATAATACCAATAAACCAACTTGACAGCCAAATAAAAATACCCATCCCCTTTGCTTTGCCCCTTGTTGTCTGAATTTTATAAATGCAATGACTGTGAGTATCCTAACAGCCTTGAAGCTTCATGTCAGCACTTACAATACCAGGGTGATACCAGGATAATATTTTGGCAGAGGAACAGCTTTTCCTCTGTGCTTTATTAACTGTCTGCTATTAAAAAACATGGAAAAGAATTGTTCCATGTCAGTCTGTGATGGAGCATCTATGTATCACACATGTGATGGTGAAGAATGCAAAATACGTAAAAAGTTACACAAATAACCACATCATTCTCTTCACCTCCATGCTCTTCATCCCACAAACACTCAAAGATTCACCACCATGTTCACAAAAATGACAATGTCCAGAGTGTGTAGGCCAGCAACTGTATGTAGAAAGAGATGGGTTCTCTTTAGAACACCTGGACAGTAAGGTTCTTAGGGATTAGACTAATTGCATCACTGAATCTGTCTAAATGAACTTTTAGATTTGCATTTGTATCAGGATTCATTATTTCCTCCAACTCCGTCCAAGAATTACTGACTACCCTGTGGAGGGTAACAGCATCAGTAGCCTGACTGCACCGTGTTTTTCTTTGCATTCCTCTGTGACACTAGTGAAGAAATAATCAGCAAATTATTCCAAAGGCATTTATTTCTTTCTTGTACATGAATTAAAAATAAAATTTTACAAAATAAGAAACTACATACTGAAATATATCATCTTAATTTATACATCAAGCATTTTTTAATGTAAGCTAGAAAAATAGAAATTTAATTTTGGACCCCTATAATAATCTTGCTAAAATTCCTAATATTCCTAATAATTTCTAAAATTCCTAATAATATTCCTAATTCATAATAATATTCCTACAACTGATGTTTAAATACTTTTTCCTTAAAAAAGAGAAAGTGCACATTGATTCACCAGACTAACAAAAATAATTCAGTGCAATTTCCTAAAACAGGCATTCAGATTACATATCCTTTCATATATGATTTCTAAACAGTTAATAGTTCAGGTTTTTCATTTTCTGAAACAGCAATGAACAGAATTAGGTGAAAAAAAAGTTGAATAAAATATTGCCTCTGCCTGGAATTTAGTTTTCAGCAAGGTCATAACAAATTCTTCTTGGAGCTCTTCTTTACTCAAAGTTAGGCAAAATTTGCTAGAGTTGATGCAAAATATTTCTTTACATTTTACCTAGAACACTTCAAATATATTCAAGCTTTACCAGCCATTTTGGCCATTTGCTATAGGCATCTGTGAACCGGGGTCACAGTTGGAATTTACAGAAATAAACATTCATTCTGTTCAAAATTTTGTCAATTATTGACTTTAAAAATTTCTCCAGCAAGGAGTAGTTTGATTAATAGTAGTTTGATATCCAGGTATTTAAGTTAAGAACATCAGACTGCATAAGACACAAATCAATTCCAGTTCTCATTAGCATCCACTTTCTGCATGTTTTATATAGACATAGGCTGACATTTTGGTTGAAGCCCATTCCATAGAAAGTGTCACATTAATAAATAAAGGATGATTAGGTCTTTTTTTTAAAAAAAACATGAAAAAATACATAGGTTTTGGTTTAGTTCTTAACACAAAATGTACATGTTATCTTATACATGTTTGTAAGGCTTCAATCCCTTAGAATAAAAGAAGTAAAATAAAAAATACAGCTTCTCTATCTACCCTTCTCTACCTGAAGCTTTAGCACTTAAGAGTCACACTGTCCACACAACCTGAGCTAGGTGACACCTTCTGTGAAACACATCAGCATTGGACAAAATAATGTATATCAAACTCGGTGAAAATATTTTTAAGAATGTAAATGTCCTAAAAAGAGTCAATATTGGTTTTTTTCCATTTTGGTTGATTTTATGACTGAACATTTGACTTCTTATCCAAAAAGGCCACTTTTCTGAATTTGGATAGATTTTGAAAAAGAAAGAAGAAATTGCATAAAACATGCTATACAAACATATTTTGCTATACAGTTTTTAAAACTTGTAATTACAGTCACTAAAAGCATACATTCTATTAAAAAAATGAGTACAAAACATAGAAAATCAAGTATTTAAGACTTGCTCAAGGGTGCAGTTGGTCTGATCTTGCAAAATACTTGGGCAGGTGCTTAATATTAGGCATATGAGTCATTGTGCCAAGAGAGATTTTATGGTGAACACTAATGCACAAATATTAGACTGGCTCTTCCACTTCAAGATAAGCATGGACGTAAGTGCTTTGCTGGATATGGATCAGGATGCTCAGCACCTAACAGGGCTGCAGGCACTGATCCAGCAAAGCACTTACCCACACGAACAACACGGCTGACTTTAGGATCACTGCTCATGTGCTTAACATTAGGCATGCTCGTAAGTGCTTTCCTGGAAGGGCCTGATAGACCAATCGTGTGTAAGCTGTAAAATTTGAAGCAGAGTATGTTTAACACACTGCATATTTAACAATGCTAATCTGCTGAGATTTGCTCTTTCTTGGAACAGGGCATGTCTGATGTCAAACATTTATTTTTCAGAAAGTGCGTAAAAAAAGCCGTCAAAAGCAGCTTTGCGATTATGGCAAGTTACTATAAGAAAGTCTCCTTATGCTCCTTTCATTTCTTCTTTGCATGTCTTTTCTCAGGCATCTACAAAGGAAAGAGAAAACCCTAGTCAAAACCATTACTTATTCAAATAACCATTCATGCATTTAATTTTGCCCCAATAAACATCACGCCAGATGCAACTGAACACCTGAAAACAAGCTCACTGAACCCTTCCAGATTTCAGATCTGAATGCAAGTTCTGCCAACTATGCCACCTCTTCCACTGAAAATATTCAAATCACCAATCACTTCTACAAATAGAACTAAGTTTATTACTTAAGACTAAAAATGATGTGCCAGTTTGACCCTTACATATTCCTAAGTCAGCGCTTGTTATTTCCATGTTTTCCATGCCCACTAACGTTAACCCATTTGCTATGCAAAGTCTAAAAAAGTGAAAATGTGAAAGCTGTTTAATCCCAGATAAACAACTATAAAATCATCACAGCTCATCAGATATTTTCATGAACATGTAGATATGTCATGTTAATCCAGAAAAAGAAATAAAGTAAGACCACATTTCTATAATAGTGCTTGCATATTGCTCCATACTATGCTAACCAAGGAAGAAATAGCAAACAGCACTTCATAATGATCTACTGCTACTGCTGGCCAGGCAGGGTAACTATATTTAAATCGTTATTGTGGCAGGAAATATTGTTTTATGCACTTGGCACCATATACTCTTCGTAACTTCTTACAGATACATGTAAGTATCAAAGTTACAAAATGTATTTCATGCCTTCCTTAAGGAAAAAGAGTTCTTGTTTTCACATGAAAGTTCTAAGGGTTTTTGGAAATGGCTTAATTTTTTTTGTCATGCACAAATTCCTGCTCAACTAAAAGCACAGTCACTAATAAAATTACTATTGTGGTAAGTTACAGCATAGCTGACAGCTGAAGTTGAGATGTGGCACTAAAGCAAAATGCATCCCTGAACAGAGGAAGAACTCTAGACTTAGTCCTTGAGCACAGCAGCATATGTGAAAGTCATGGGGACAGCAAGAAAAAATAAAATCTGGAAGATCAGAAGTTAGCACTAAGACCTCTCATCTGTATCAATTTTTGTCTCTCTCTGTCCCAAATTCTGACCAGAGAAACTGGGACTTTTTCATAGAAGGTTCTTGAATAGCTCAGTCAATGAAAAGATGCACTTGCAAAATTTATTTCACAAAACCTTTGAACTGATAAAACCCACACCCCTAAAACTAGCATATTTAAATATCCAGATGAGCTTGTACCATATATCTGTTCTGCTCCATAGCTCCTGTTGCTAACATAATTCTCCCCCATTCTTGGTTTTCCAACAAGCACCCTCCCATGCTTGTCTTTCTCAGCATTTTCTAGAACTGGCTTTTCATTAATAGATACAAAACTCCTTTTTTCTATCAAAACACTTCTTAACTTGTTGCTTGATGCACAGAACTTCTCCATTAACATGACAGAATGTGCCTGCTCTTTTTCTTTCTTTTTTTCTCATAGTATCATCCTGCATTTTTGACAGGTGTTTTTCAAAACTGCCATTACTTCTGCATCCCTTCTATTCACATGAATTTGGGAGGTTGAATGTTTTATGAAATTAACCCTTCCAGTTCATAACAACAATTGCTCATTCTGGGCTCATTAAACACTATTTATTATCAGAGAAATAATTCTGTAGATTTCCAAGTATTTTCCTTATCTGGAATTCCAACCATGCTGACCCTCTGTGCATTTGCAAACTACATCTGACACTTTGTAAAAAACACCAGTTTGAAAGGCACACAAGACCAAACAAGAACGACAAAACTGCACAGAACACATGGAAAGGCTTCTCCTTCATTTCTGGCTGGAACAGAGTGCCACAGAGCTTTTTAACCTAACAGACACCATTTTAATCCAAGGGTTGTAAATGACAGCAAGTAAGATTGAAGTGGAAAAATGGCCTAAGTACTCAAAAAGGGGGAATTCCTAATTTTCTGAAACTCACATGACCAAGGGATACAAGCAGATTCTCTAGTGAGTTGAAGTAGCAAAGACTGATGTGTTTTAAGAGGGTCTTTCAAAAACACAAATTGTAGTTGATCCACAGTAACGACTCAGTACAACAACTGATGGATGACATTTTTTATTGTATGGAATAGGCTAGATTGGTACAAATGATCCCAGTGACTCAATCTCTTTTTCAATTCTGTGACTGAGGGAAGCCACATCATCAGCTATCCCTCTAAATACACAGGAATACTCTCTAATGGTGAAAGAACACAGAAAAGAGTGGGTAGTGGATTTTAAGTAACAGTCCTACCTTGTGCAAAACTTTGTAAAACTAAACCTTATCTAAGACACTCATACTTAAGCTTTTGAATCCAACGCCAAACAGGCTTCTTAAAAAAAAACCCCACCCGTTCTTGCCTTTAAATCAATTTTTCCCTGATTATTTTTGTAAGGACCTTTTGACCTTGGAACGGAACATAAAAATACCCCTATATTGCTATGTGCTAAGAGATTTATCATGTAACGCCAAAGAGATGCCAGAACTCTTTAAGGATTACAATTTATACACAGAAAAATACTGAAAACACTTAGAAAATGTGCTGAAACCCAACCTAACTTTTGAAGCATACGGCAAATACAGCAAGCACAAGTTTGTTACACAAAGCACTTTATTGCATTACATGTACACTGACATTCATTGCCATTTGTTTCCAGCATATTGAAAACAACCCAAATCCCAATACAGAGTATCCTTGCCTCACTAAAATACCACCACTGACAATGCTTACATCAGCACTTATATGTGGGCCCAAGTAAAAATGCAATAATGCCATCCTACTCTGATATAACACTGGGTAAAAAACTTCAGACAGTTTTAAAAAAATAATGCTCCTTACAAATTTAAGAAAAAAAATCATCAAAGGTGGGCAAGTTTTCAGCCTAGAATGAAGTGTAATGGAGAAAACTCCACAGTGGGCTTGACTGGGCTTGCTCTAGAAGGAGCGCCAGCACAGTGTGGTACCCTGCTAAGCCTTGCTTCTAGCTCACAGCACCATAGTAATGCAGCTGAGCCATCTTCCCAGTCCAGGCTGGAAAATCAGTTATCATGGTACTGCCTAGTCTCACTAAGGCCCAACAGCTTTGTGCCCTGCCAGCTCACAGACCTCTCCATGACACTCATACCCAGACATGCCCTGATACACTATACTAACAAAAATCTGCAGGAGACATTTTTAGCTTAACATAAAAATAGCCACTGTATAAAATTATTTCAAGAACAAGTCTTCATTTTGATGTTTTAGGTTTGGAGCTGAAGAAAGTAGAAATGGATTTCATTCCACTCTTATCAACTTTGGCCAGAGCCTTCTGTGCTGCAGACATCTTGGTGTTTGCCTGTGAGTGAAATGGTGAACAGAAACAGTTAAACAACAACTCCACAGGGGGGAAACAGATGCTACAAACTTCTAAATACGGAAGTCAAGCAATAAGTTGAATTGCTTTTTTAGTGTACAGCCATAAAGATAATGTTATGCAGGCTTTGAATTGTAGGAGACAAACATTAAAAAACAAATTTGAGATTATTCAAACTGAAGAATACTTGTGATGAATTACTTAACCTCAAACAAAGACAGAAAACCAACTACAAGTAGAAGAAGGTGAAACATCTCTCCTTTCTGCAGAATGAGTTATCCCAAATCAAATGTTTACTTTGGGATAATCCCTGAGTGTACATTAAGAGGAATAATGCATGCAATAGAACAGATGCATTCTGTACCCTCCGACTCAATCTCATGATTATGCTGTCAGCAGGCTGAATTACAGACCTGCATTACAGATGATGAATAATTCACACTGATTTACTATCAAAGGCTATGCACAGTGAAATAAAGAGAAAAGAGATTAAGAACTAGGAATGAAAAAGGTAACTAACATTTCCAAAGCACTTTTGAGGCCACTGGGACAACTTCCCAGACGTCTACACCTAAAACACATTTTATGAACCACATTTTATAGAGCTGACCTCTTTTCTTTCTTGTATTTTAAAGTGTTATGTTTTAAATCTCTAGTTGCTTTCCCTATTAAAAAAAACTTTGCATTGACCTTTCTTTATGATACTCCTCAGTCTACAGGACTTCCCAATAATAGTACTTGGGATCAGCTAGATGGCTATGGATTGAATGGAGATAGGCAACAACTGTATGATTGTCTGCGTTACTCTACAAACAAAACCACTGCCAAAGTATTTTAAAAAGAGCTGTACAGAGTCCAAGGGCTATATTTTCTTTCCCAGATTCCCTCATCAATGTGCATTATTTTCAGAAGTAAATTATATTTAATGTTAAAATGAATTATCTCTCCTCAGTTTATTTCTATCTTTATGCTAAGTTCAAAAGCTATAGTATATAATGTGGAGAGGGGGGAAATATGCATATTTAAACTATTTATCACCTTCACTTAGGGGGCAATCCTCTTACTTCCAAACTAGAATGTGCAATGAGTACAAAAGGAAATCTGGGGTTTTGGGGGGGAGGAAGGAATACATCTGTCACCAGCTGCTTCTCTTTGCAAAGGGATAACGAGTAGTCAGCATTAGACTGAAGGTCACAAGACCAGCACAGCGGGCCATTTTGGTTCCCCATGGATTGGAGGAAGATTCATTTTCAATGTTCAGAGAAATAAGCCAGTACAAGCCTCACAGCTTTGGCAGACATAGACAGGATCTATTTCTTTTCACATCTCTGTTGCTCTCCTAGGAATAGTACAGTGGCAGGCATTGCTGGACTCAGATTTGGATTGGCCTCCAAACATGCATTGGAGCTGGCAATCAGTAAGTTCTGTGTTGTTTTAACTTCATTAAGTTGACATAAGTGCACAAGCAATATTTCTAGGTAAAAGTAAAGTCTGTCCTAGCATCCCTTGGAATTTAAGTAAATGCTGCCATCTTCATTTCTTTTTTGAGTTACTGAAATTTACCAGTTGCTATCACTAAGCCATAGGATTTCTCATCTAAAGATCTCAGAGCTTTTCAAGCATTAGCTGAGCGTGTCTGAGTCTGTGAGGCTTACTGGAATGTTCACTGGTGAAATACAGCCCAGCAGTAATAGTACAAAACAGTTCTGTATAGGAAATTAAAACTGTCACATTAAACCTGAGAAAAGGTCAAAGAGATATAATTACAGATGTCAGATGATTTTGTATTTGTTTTGTATTTGTGATGTATTTCGAAGGAGAAAGTTAAGCATTCTGTGTTAGTATTTGCTATTCATCTACACTTTGGCAAAACATGTATGAATGCAAGGCTTGCTTACCTTTTTGGTTTTCAGATTGTCGCTGTTAAATTTAGTATAGTCTTCTTGTGGTTCCACAGGGACATCTGACAATTTTCTTTTCTGAAATGTTAGAGTGAGGAAGTTGCTCTGTCAACCACTTTTATGATGTACACACATGGAAGTTCAAAGCTTTGGTTTTAAAATGTAACCATAGCACCAAAACAGGATTGGCAATCAACTGAAGAATCTGCAGCAAGAGTGGAAGATTTCTGTCTGCAATTGTCTTCTCTACATGTGAATATAAACCATCTTTACAGCATTCAGAAGAGAGCATTCTGTGTCAGAGGAAGCATTTTCTTCCTAGCCTTCTGAAGAATGTCAATTAGAAATCAGCCATGATTGTGGCTTTGGTGTCAGTCTATTTAGAGAACTTTCTGGAGCAGCTGTTGGAAGTTAGTGTCTGACAGTCAAGGAACTGTGGTGCTCATAATCTCATGGACCTGTGAAGCAACTCCAGTGCTGTAGCTATCTGCCAACACAAGTCGATCATCATCTAGTCTGTTGTCTGTTTGATCACAGCCTTTAGAATTAATTCCTTTTTACAGGCTGGCAGCAGTTAAATAGTGCCATAGCTCCACTGACTGCTTCATCACTTGAATCCAACAGCATATTATGGAAGTTTGACTCTGCATGTGCTGTGTGCCTTCTAACTTCAGAAATAATACATGTGAACGATTCTCGGTACTCCACATGATCAGGCCATAAAAATGAATATTTCTTTCCATAAACTGTGAGCATGTGTTTAGTTTAAAGGTGAAAACTTTCTGGTATGTTTCCAAAAGAGAAAAAAAAGTATGTAGTATTTTACAACACTGTATTTTTATTATTATTATGTATCTGATATTACTACCCTGTCCTTAATATCCTGTGAAATCTAGACCGTGGCCTTCCCAGCTTTTGTGCCAGAGAGTGATTTTGCAAGCAACTTGGATGGTACCATACATTTTAAGATCCTGTTTTATTCATTTTGTTTATGGTGCTTGTGATATCTCTCTCCTTCTCCCCCTCCCTCTCTCTCTTTGGCACAGAAGCCAAGTCTTCAGCCTAGATTTCTCAGCTCTTAGAACCAGATCCAGCTGAAGCCTTTTCTTTTGATTTCAATGGAATCTGGATCAGCCTCTTTAGGAGGCTGTTTACTGTGCTGTGATTACATTTTCAAATGACAATCTAATGAAGAATTACTCTTCTCCTCTTTTTGGAATCTGATAAACAAGCTTTTAAAATTTGTAACAAAAATGTTTGCATTTCAGCAAAGCATTTGCTGTTTAGCTGTAGCAAAGTCTTCATATTCTTTGTAAATGTCTCTCATCATCTGCCAATGGCCAGACTCCCTTTGCTGACAAACTGGACAGTGTGATGATTACAACACAAGATCAACAGCTTACAATTAATACAAAGAACATGCAATTTTGATTTAATCATTAAATCACAAAGACTAGGCTGTACCCAGTTTGTTCCTGTTCAAGAAAGAGAATGTGTTATTGCTTTTCGGCTGATCACTGAAGTTTCTACATCTTCCCTCCCTTCAGAGTTTAATGTAATGCCCAAACATGCAATTATTTTTCCAAAAAGGAAATGCATGTTAGAATCTTATTTTGGAATAACTATATATTATGTCTGTTAATACACCTTGTCCTCATGAAGAAAAATGTCAACACAAGTGATTAAAAATGGTCTGAAGGAGATGAAGTTTCCATGTATAAGCCTACCTTGCTCCTCTCAGATTGTGAAATAAAGGAGTGTTTTAATCTCTGAAGTTGCAAGGACTTATCATACACACCCTGGTCAGTGCTCTGGAAATTAATCAGATCCTCAGCAAGGTCTCACTGCCCAACAACTGAACAGTTCTAAGCCTCATTTCCTCTGCAACCTAACTGCTGAAATAAAACTGTTTTTAAAAATAGATTCTCAGAACTATCCCAATGGTATAAAAGCTATTCGTACACAATATGGAATGTACATCACATGCAGTTTAATACAGTTGTTTTAACATGCTTATACAGCTAATGACTATCAGTTGGCTCCTGATGTGTGCTTAATATTTCTTACAACATATAAAGATAATTCTTTAACTGAATCAAAGGGCCAAGTAACTGTGCAGCCAGAACAACTGTCCAGCCACATGGAAATAACATATCTCTGGATATCCATTGGAGAACAAATGCTATTAATAACAGTAGGGCTCAATTATTCTTCTATGTGCTAGCTGACATGCTGCTAAACAGAACAGTCACTGAACCAGCCAGAAATGAGGTTTTTTTTAGACTTTCTTTCGGTAAGTAGCAGGGACACTGCAGGAAAGGCCAGCATGGTATGTAATCTCATTTCAGCAGACATAGGCTGCTCAGTTTAAATTAAATAGAAAGGATTATCTGAAGTGGGGTTATTGGTTCTAGCGGGGCAAACCTTGCAAACCATATGCCTTACTTGTCTTGAGGCAAAGCAAAGGGACTTGATGTGTGAGAAAGATACTTGGAAGGTAAAAGACTGAAGAAGTGATTTTGGATCTTTTACTTCAAACAAGGTGAAAATCTTGGAAGAAAAAGCTTCTCAGACTAAACACTATAAATGCGGCTCCTTGCTCACACAGATGCACACATATTCCATCACCCCCATCCATCCCCAAAAAAATCCAACTGACACTAGGTGTAAGCAGAAGTATCTAATGAATGGAGGAAAAAAACAACTGGGGAAAAGAAATATTAAAAAAAGAGATCGGTTTAGGGGTCAGGTAATCCTGGGACTAAGTGGGAACTGCCAAAAAGTCAAGCTGAGTTAGACCTTGGAAAGGAAATTAAAACAAACAGTACAAGGTCGTTTAGCCACAGAGGCAAAAAGGGAATTAAAAAAGAGAAAGTGAAGCTGCTGTACTGTAGGGATTGGATAGGTATTAAAGTTAACCTATGTGTGGACCTAAAATCAAAGAACCATTTTGCCTCAATAAATAATTTTCAATAAAAATGAAGAGGTTAAGCACAGGGACAGAAGACAGAATAGAAATCACTCTATTTAAGATAGAAGTAAAACTCAAAATATGCTGATCTGGTTGGAAGACTGCATCAGAAATGACAAGATGAGAGACAGAACCTGGCATATATTTTATCAGGCAGGGACCATATTAGTGCAGAATAGCCAAGGACCCATCTCTAATATAAGAAAGAAGAAAAAGTGATAGTAGGACTTAGGAGAAGAGAGTGGGGGAAAAAAGTGAAAGAAGGAAGAATAATTAAAGAGGAAATGAAACACAGAATCATAGAGTGGTTTGGCTTTGAAGGGACATTAAAAGATCATCTAGTTCCAACCTTTCTGCCATGGGTGGGAATACCTTCCACTGGATCAGGTGACTCAGAGCCCCACCCAACCTGGCCTTCAACACTGCCAGGATGGGAGTTCACAACATCTCTGGGCAACCTGTTCCACTGCCTCACCACCTTTACATCTAATTTAGACCTACGTTTTCTCTCAGCTTTAGGCCATTGTCCCTTGTCCTGTCACTACATGCCCCTGTGAAAGTTTCTTGCCAGCTCTCCTGTAGCCCCCTTAAGGTACTTGAAGGTGCTCTACAGTCTCCCTGGAGCCTTCTCTTCTCCAGACTGAACAACCCAACTCTCTCAGTATGTCTCAGCCTAAAAACAAAACAAGGTAATGCCTACTAACTTGCCTTTATTTTCTCAAATATAACACATTTTCTGGCGACAGAATGTGAAGGATTGCCAGAGGACTTGACATGGTGCCACTTAAGCAGCTGATATTACAGAAAACAAATACTGCATAAGATTAAGGTAGGTGAGAAACTGGGAAAAATGGAAACAAAGGCAAATAATGCAGAAAGGGATGTAATTGGATCAGATGGAGATCACTAGTTAATTACTAGTTAAAAATAATAATAGAATGCTAACATTTGCTGAATGTACACCACTGAGTAGCATTATGAACACCTGAAGAGCTTTTAACACTGTGTAAAAAAGTCAGGGAACCTTCAAGACTGGAAACCTTAAAGCCAGATTAAATGTACAGAAGAAGTAAAAGGTCATGTACACAGAAACTAACTGCATGAACTTCTTGTAAATCTGAGAACTGATCAAGTAAAAACTGAAGTGGAAAAAAACTCCAACTGTGTGTCTTAACTACTCCCAACATAACAAAGAGCTATCTGATCACACATCAATAGAAACAAATGAGATTCTAGTCTGTAATGGGACAAAGTATTTCTAGTTAAGACAAGAAAGGAAGAATGCCATCATATTGTATGAGTAAAGGTTTTATCAGAAATAATTACACATTTTTCTGGTCACCTGCTTTGAAACAACTGAATTCATCTTGGAATAGGTGTAAAAAAATGTTTTCACAATGAGGGAATGGAGAACCCATGTCACACAACCAAACTGGCTTCTCAAAATGAAAACGCAAAGCAAGTATGTTTTCCCTTCACACATTGAAAGAACTAATGTTAGGGAGGGAAAGGAGCCATTTCAATTTCAAAAAACAATGATAAAGTTAGCACAAAAGGGCAGGGGAATAAATTGGCCATGAATAAATTCAAGGTGGAATTTACAGAAAGGTTTCTGAGCATCAGAGGAATGAGGTTATAGAACACGCTTCCAAGAGATGTAATGGAAATAAAAAATCCTAATGAGACTTGCAGTGAAGAATGATCAGTGTATGAGAGATTATTCAACATGGTTGTCTGGGAATCCATAACCCAGGAGGTCCCTTTCAGGGTTCTCATAAATTATATATGAAAGAAAACCTATGAGGTCATATTGTCCCATCAACCTCAATAAAACTAAATAAGCAAAACATGTATGAAAAAGACTGTTGACCAAAACCATAAAATATGCCTCTCTTTTTCCCCTCCCCTTTTTTAAACAGGAAAACCAACCAAAATATTCCTTATTAAAAATATGAGTTACCTGCTAAATTTCTTGAGTCTGTTTCAGACTGGCTTTTCACATGGTAACCTTACTTAATGTATTGTACCCAGTGCTTGGTCTGGTCCAGTTTAAATAATAACTCAGAAAAATTGAATTATAACACATCTCTCAATATCTTAATGTTCTCCTACCTTCAGTGGTGGCTCTGGTTCTGGGCTTCTAAATTCTGGGAGCCTGCAGAACAGAAGATTTTAAATGAAAAATTAAGAAAGATGAATTGCACAACCTAAAGTTTGTAAATCCTTCTTCATGAAAGCTGCTTTGGTTATCAGCTGCTCACACATGGCAAGCACTTGCAAAAAAAGCAGCTCATGGACTGTATTTCTGACTTATGAAACTGCTCAGCTATGGGGCTTCAGGCTGCAAATTACACACTTTTCCAAAGGCCACCATAACAGAAGCCTTTGAACAGAACTGAGCTGATGAGTAGGTGCAGAGTCACAATGATGATCCAAGCGAAGTCTGCCGCTGGCAGGGAACACCAGGAGGAGGATGCTGGCTCACCTTCCAGATTTAAATACAAACTAACATAGGTGAGATAAATAAGTCCAACCCAGGCAGCACTGAGTGAATAAGGAAAAGGAAAGAGGACTGGGGATGAAGACGCAATTCCTGGCTCTGCTGTTTGTGCTTGACAATTCTGGACAAACTTTTTCTGGATTTTCCTCCCACTTGCTTTCAAACAGGATACATTACTCAGGGTTTCATCATGCAACACTGGTAACAGACATATCCAACTTTAATATTACATCTCCCCCAGCTCACAGTCCTTAAAACCACAGGAAAGCCAAAAAATAACCCATATCTATGTTTGAAAAATCACATTTTAAGTGTGGCAAATATAATCTCATTGTGTCATTCACTGCAACCTTGATGAACAAAACTCAGTATACAACTGAAAAGACCAAATGGACATTAATCCATGTAAAGCTATAGGCTAGCTGGAACAATACTTACCCTAAGTATTTTAACAACTCCTTACTCAGATCTTCAGGAATATACTCTGATATTAACCCATGGGCATACCGTACATAGTCTTCAGGAGGAGGTCAGGGAGTGGGAAGGAGGAGAAAAAGAACATTCATGTTACATAGTCACGTTGCTTTAGCCATGTTGCATGTGCTACCATGAGGCACAAGGTTGAATCACTAGTAACAGACTCCTAATGGATACACTGTGATGCTTCTCTGTGTCGAGTAGTTTATGTTATATGACACTTGTAGGTTTATTTAAAAAGTAAAGACTTATTACACTCACTTTGTCAGCACATGTTATTAATATCTGCTGCATGTACTTTACAAAGCTGTTCACTTTCTGAGAGTACTAGATATCATGTATTTTTCCGAAGAAATTAAATTTTAAAAACCTGCAAAAGTAAAAAGCTGACTCAACAGAACATACAATCATTAATTTTAAAGCATCTGGATCTTACAATTATTTGGCAAGGGCTTCAGTACTAAAGAACATTTTCTGGCTTCAACTGAAAACAATTAGATGAGACAATGAGTCTATTTCAAAGTCTTGTACTTAATTTTCAGTACTTTATAGAAAATGCCAAGGCCTATCTAAATATCACTGGCAAGACAGGATAATTATCTGTGGAAATATGAACTACTAGAAGCTGTTTTCAGTACAGGGCACTCCTGCTATAAATGTTTTTCTGAGAGACTGGGGGAAAAAAGTGACCATTTTATAACATGAAGTCCTAAACCAGATCTTTTCCGGTCACGTTCTACACAAGTACTTACTGATTGTGGGCTGGATGAGCTGGACTTCTTTAAACTTGCTGTTGTTGAGGCTGCTAGGGAATAACTGCACCATGCACAGGAAGCATTTGCCAGACAGATATTAAGTTAAAATCTCCCCTCTGAATTCCAACTCCAACAGGCCAGTTTATCTGCTCATGTGCCTACACACTTAAGAGAGTTCAGAAGCACATGGCATACCAACCTTAAAGTGGCAAAAAACTATTACTTTAGTGCCAGAGATAAATGTATCTTCTTTTTCCCCATTTTTCTTTCTTTTTAACCTGAAAAGCTCAATGCAAACTGGCAAGGAGAAAGCATTAACAAACTTACAGCAGCTTATGCATTTCAACTGTTCTGATAAAAAAATTTTACTATCACCTATCTGCACTTCTCCTTCCTTCACTGTATAGATTCATCAAAGATTTTTCACTCTCTAAGCCCACTTTAGGGTCAGGAGAGAACAAGAAATAATTCCAACCCAAGAGAATTTCACCTTAGCACTTAATATGTCCAATTTCTTGCTTAAGAAACAGGTCCCGATTATTTCACACTTTGCATTATGAGTCATTATGGTGAGTCCAAATCAACTGCTATTATTTCATACTAAATACAAAAATCCATTCTCTTTGCATTTCTGACTTGAGGCAATCCTCACTTACTTCCTTTACCAATTTAAAAATACCACTATTTGCCTCCTATGGAGTCTGTGTTCGTACTGCACCCTAGCTTTGCTATTAATCTTTTGTCAAACATCAGGAATACTTGCACACCTCCCTTCTTTGTCTTCTGAATGAAATATTCAAGTCCCATATGATGAACCTCCCCTACTTCCCTATTTGCTCTTATTATATTCTCCACTCTTTTTGCCCTACAACATCTGTAGATGCTAACTACATGCACCCACCTATTTTTAAGGAGCTGAAATTTCATAATACCCCTATGAAAACAATTTTCTACAGAAATAAATTGCACTGTCACAGCAACGAAAGGATCAGACAAGAAAATGCGACTTACTAGAAATAAGTGTTGAGTAATATCCATTTCACTTCCTATCATTCACCTTGCCACATGCAGTGGGACTATCTCCAAAACTCACCTACTTTAAATCCCAGTATTCCCAGTTTCAATGCTGCTGTCTCAAATATGAAAAACCAAGGTTTTTAAAAAGACTATTATAATCATGTCACTGGAAAGGTGGAAGAAACCCACTGCAGATGAAATATTTAATAATAAATTTCAGAGAAAAAGTGATTAAGCATAGTCAAGATGGTTGTTGCCAGGACTCTCCCCTTTCTTTAAAAACACAGGGGTTGGGAAAAAGATGAAAAGCTACCATGAAAGTCACAACTTTCGCAGCTTTGTCTCTTTTTAAAAACCATATATTACAACCCCTGTTCTCTAAAATTGTCTGTTTGCCTCATGAATCTCATTTATGTTGTTTCCTTTGATATCATGACTTGGTAGCTCATTTTCCACTTTGTCAGCAAGCTGCTTTGTTTCTTCTAATTTTCACAAGCATGAAGAGTTCTGAATGTCTTTGTAATAAGAAACAATTTGCTTTGATTCATCTTGCTCTAAACTGTTCTTAATTTTCATTAAAATGCAAAGATTTTATTATGAGTCCATTTTCAGGTTTCTCCACAGAATTTTGTGTCAGTGACATTCAGGACATTGCCCTCCCCAGTAAAATGGTGAATAAAAGCAAAGAAGATCACACCTGGTAACAGGATTGTTACAATTTAATACATATATCATTAAAATTTTGCCCTTATTAATTACAATTTTGTGTATTTGTAGTGGGTTGAAGCTGTTAAAATGCCAGTGAACTCAAAAAAAATCATCCAATTCATACATTTGTTGCATAAAGTAATGTTTGGACCAGGAGCCTTTTCCCTGTGACAATGACTTCCTAAGATCCCTTCAGCCTTTTGAAGAATTCTATGAATGCTAATATTCCATGCATCCTAATAAAAATAATAATAAAAAGAAGCATGTTCTAATACAGACACACTTACCAGGTTAGAATTCATATATATTATAAATATGTGTCCTATTCTTTAAAACAGCCTCAGTTCAGCAAATCACTTCAGCATGTATTTCACTGAGAAAAATGTTTCCTCCTTGAATTTTGAGGAAGCTAAGAGAATCCTAGCTGAGATAATTGTAATTGTTAATTACAGTGTCATCTGATTAAGCTAGCAAAAAACTTGGAAAAGCCAAGGCACAATCACAACTTATATGGAATTTTCTGTACAGGGTATAAATTTACCCAAAAGGCCAATTTCAATATATTTTAGTTTCTAATCATGTGTTTTATCTCTACTTATGTGACTTCACAAAAATGGAATTCATTACCATGTTTAGTTTTCTTACCTTCCTGAGCATCTGTGATCTGTTTACTGTTGATAAATGTACTTGCAAGCACTCTTTCACCTACTGATACATTGTTGCTTTTAAGTGCTTTCACTGTTTGATTAACCTACAGAAAACCAAAAAATGAAATGCCTGTATCAATATTGTTATGCACATGTTAATGCAGTGACAAAGCTCTTGTAATTTTGTTTCAAGCATATAAAACACTCAAGTTATGGACTGTGGTGAAATTTAATATACATTTGTAATGACTAGCAGATGAACTCAAAAAAACCAAAGAAACTAGCATGTCTTTGAACATGTTGCCTTGGCAACACAGCACCACTTTTGCAGCACCCTAAGATGAGCTGATCTACTCAGACTCAACATCCATGATTATACAGGTGAGAAATACACCTGCTCAGAGAACACTCCTGAGCTCAGCAGGATGGCAAAGGCAGTCCGGGTGGAAATCAACTATTAAAGACTTTACAGGCATTGATGTGCTGGATCCAACAGAGAGAGATCTGTCAGATGAAAGTATTTTCAACAACACAAACAGGTACCTGTTCACATGTAAATATTCTATTTGGGTAATCATTGCAAAATAGGTATTCATTCCCATGCCTCATCACTGCAGAAAGTGGACCAGATTTTGTGCTTGTATTGATTAATTTAAATTACAAGACCGTCTCATCATTTGATGCATACCCTCTTTTTCTATAGAGTGGCATCATGTTAAGGGTACATGTGTGTGAGTAAAATGAAATTCACCTTCTTTATACCAAAACAAAGACCCCATCAATCTCAGCTTTAACACTAGTTTATTTCTGGCAAACTCTACAGACCTCTTGAACAGCATGACTGGATCAGGATAACAGCAACCAAACCAGGATCGTTCTGAGTGAACTGTGCCAAAACTTCAGGAAACACATTTGTAGTACAAAACCAAGGCAGTTCTGTCCAGCTTCAAAGCACAGCAGAATTTAGAAACTGTAACAATCAGAACTCTCCTCTAGCCCATCTATGAAAGGGACAAAGCAAAAGCAAGCCCCTCATATTATGCAAAGCCTACAGCTATAAGCTGACAGCTTCTTCTTCCTTCCCACACCCCATATGAGCCCGTTTCATGGCCAGTCTCATCAAAAAGTGAAATGCAACAAACTTATTAACATCTCTTAACACCTGATCACATTCCCAAGTGGAGCAACTTTACTGTGATGTCTGTCCTTGGACAGGACACATACCTTGAACTGAGGCACAGCACATGGCTCCAATGCAAATATGGACAAGTTAATAAGCATTTCCATTTTGAACATATAGCAATTTTTAAACCAAAAGGGAAACACAATACCTTTTTCTTTAACCACTTCAGTGTCTTCTCTTGGCTGTATTTGTGGAATTTCTGACTGCCAATCTCTGAGAAAAAAGCAAGCAACGGGAAAAAAGTCACGTCTGGTTTGGATTGCATTTTCAATACCTTTAAAGTCTTTTAACTTGTAGATAGAATATAAATGTTAATTTGCATCTTGCACATGTTTGATATCAGGGCAGCAAGTTTAAAAATATTGGAAGCAAAAAAAAAATAGACTGAGCTGATATGAACAAGTCTGGAAAATCTGATGGTTCTTTAATTAGTTTAATTAATTTAATTAATCCAGCAAAGCACATATTTTATTTATTTATGTGTAATCTTGGGTTCTCTTATTCACTAAGACTCTTCTCAAGCCCTTATAGTTTCACTTCACCTTCACTGCCCTGTATTACCAGAATGGTGCTTTTAACTACATATCTCATAACACAAAATGTTGGTTCTATGATTTTCTTTTTTTTCCCTTTTTTTTAAACAACAGATTATCTCAAATCTTTATGTACTGAATTCCAGCACTTAGTAAGGGACCAGGACAGAGAGTTGGCTACTGAACTATCCACCTCTTCAATAAACCATTTCCCTATCAGTTCTCCTCTCTCGTGTCAGAGTGACTAAAGTAGAATTTTTATTTCTATCCCCCTTTTACATAACTCAATATAATGCTAAAAGAAAATACAGAATCCAAAATAGTAAAACTCACTCCTTGTGGGAGGAAGTACATGATTCACTCATGATTTATGGAGCAACACAAATTAACTTGATGATATAAGAACTTTGGAGAGTGTTTCCCCTGCGATAATGAGGGCATTATGAACACTTGCTATTCAGATGTGATCAGTTATCTGGAGGTAAGCGAGTTCAGAACATCCAGGCAAAAGAGAAAATTACCAAGGCTCAGGGAAATTTCAGTATAAAAATTCAGTATTAATTCACAGAAAGCTGTATTTGGGAAATGGAATCATATGCCTAATATGATTTCACAGGAGATTTTTGAGCCTGCTGCTTCAGTCTTATTCTTTAACAGGTATTTCAATATGTTTTGATCTCCGGTATACTACCATTCCCATAAATACCTACATCTGTTTCATGTAATTTACTGATACAGTGTCATATTCCAACACTCATTTCATGGATTTCCCTTCTCCCCTGGCAAACAACAACATATTATTTATGATTCCTTCAGCATTTCCTTCTTTGGGGTTTATCTTGGCTCTTCCAAATTGCAAACAGTGAACTATTATGTGCTCTTTCTGTACGTATGGCAGGGGGTATGGAGAGGTCGAGGAAAGCTGTTTGCAAGATAAAAGTTTAAATCTGTCTCAATAGTTGTACAATAGCAAAATACAAAAATTCTTCAGGGCAAATAATGTACACTTTGCTTTATGATGAGCTGCAGGTAAAAGAATTAGCTGTGACATGGTTGGCTGCAGGCTTTAGGACTTAGAAGCTTCTAAACGGCTATGAAAGAAAAGAAGCAGAAAATGGAGAAACTCTCTGGACACTTGAACCTGCTTCTCAAAGGGCTAACATGGTTTGGGTTCAAGCACAGTGAGTACAATTCATGGATTCCTCTCTTATCTAAGAAAGTTCGAGGAAGGAACATCCTCTGGGCACCATCCCCCTACCCATGCTGAAAAGTAATTCTAGTCTGGATTCCCAGGCAGACTCCCCCACAACAGCATGATTCAGAGTGACTCAGGGAAAGGAAATGTAGAACTGTGAAGCCATTTTCATTAAAACATGTGAAAAATAATTACATTGAACCCTTCAGAGATCACTCTGTTTGAAAATATTTTGTGTGCTTGACAGTTTTGACTATTAAACTCTAGAAACTGACAATATTCAAGACCTCTGAAGAATTAAAGTGAGTTATGAAAGTCACAAACTGCTGACAAAAGGATTCAATATTGGAACGTGGATTTAACATGTGATGCACATTTGATATTGGTGAGAGTTAGTGACTATGTTTGATAATATGAGTATATATTGGAAAGCCTTTTGTTCCCTAATGTGTCTGGTGCCTATAAAACTGGTCGGAGACATCTGGAAAGATTGGGTTTGAGAAATACAGATGGAATATAAGTGGTTCTACAATTAAATAATATGTTCAGTGATCGGGTAATCACTATGTAGACTTGGAAGTTTCCCTGATGTATTGTTGAGCAAACTGCCTAAAGCACATTTTAAAATCCATTTTCTCAGTGTTTTCCATAACTCTGAAACTTAGAGGGCCCCCTTTTTCCTACCTCCTGGGAATACAAGCTTGGCAATATTATTTAGTTCTTCTAATCAGGTAAGTTTTCTTGGCTCTTCATGTTAATCACATCAGACAAGATCATAGTGCAGCTTTTGCCTTGCAAAATGAAACAAAGAGTAACATTCTAGAACTGGAATTCATAACCCTTTCTTAAACTTTCTCTACTGTACATTCAATCCAATGTCAGAATTTATTAGCAAACAACCTGCCTCACCCAGACTTAGTGAGCTGTAACACACCCTTTCCACAACTACTAAAGCAGGTAATTCAGAATTTAATTCAGCTAAATGAATTTTCAGTGCCCTTCAAGAATGAGGCCAGGGAAGGTGGATTTTCTGCTAATTCAGTAAGTGTAAACTGTGAGAGCTCTGGGGTAAGAATTTCTTAGACAGATGTTAAAAGTCTTAAGACTAAATGAAGAGTGAAATAATTATGTTGTTAAGTTCTGTCAAGCAGAACAGAGCTGCAGAAGCCTTAACACAACTGGTATTTCTTGCCCTAATGTTCTACTCCTAAAATGAGAAAGGCTACAAAGTGGACAACAGGTCTTAAGAACCAGCAAAGAGTGAGTACCTCAAGTCATAATGCCGGTATTTTTTACAAGCAATAAAAGACATGAGAATATGAAACACATAGAAGTGGATTAAACAGAAAGGTGATGTGTGCATGACAGGCAAGCAAGTGCCAATGGGTTCATTGCATAACAGTACTCTTGGTGTTCCCAAAAAAGAAAGAAATCCTAAGAACAAGCCCCACTGTAATCCAATCCAAATCCGAGCAAGAAAAGAAGCAGCATGTATATGCAGGTACATGCCTGGGAAAATACAAGAACATCACATAAAGCTGGTGTGTGCACATATGTACAGCTTTTATGACAAAAGCATTGCTCACCTCACATTTCAGAACAAAACCCAGAAAGTGAACTCACATTTAACAGCTAATACAATTTGTTGTCAAAACAACACAAACTTATAGGTGTACATAATACATTACTTAAAATGGGAAAAAACCAAGAAGTGAAGCATCTTCACTACTGTCTAACAGATTACAGTTTATGGGAGGATGCTCCCAGACAGATAACTGCAAATACAGTATCAGAATGGATACGGAAGTTAGACCAAGACACAAGATCTTGTCTATAGCAAACACTTTTTTAAAAAGCTTTGTTTTGGGAACATAAGTACTGCCCAAAGTTTGTACTGTTGTTTGGAGGAAGTGCCCTTTCAAAAAAATAATCCAGATCCTGTCCTAAATTCCTATGTAGACTCAAGTATGACAGTCAAAAGGATGTGGCTCCATTTTTCCCCTTCTGGGATGGGTGATCAACCTGACCTCCATTATGATAATGTGAACTCCTTAGTAGATGAGGGAAAGGCTGTGGATGTTGTCTATCTAGACTTCTAGAAAGCATTTGACACTGTCTCTCCCAGCACTGTCCTACGGAAGCTGGCAGCTCATGGCTTGGACAGGTACACTCTGCACTGGGTAAAAACCAGTCTGGATGGCCAGGCCCAGAGAACTGTGTTACATCCAGCTGGCAGCGAGCCACTAGTGACCCCAGGGCCAATTCTTTATCTAATATCTTTATCAATGATCTGTATGGGGAGATTGAGTGCTCCTCAGTTAGTTCACAGATGACAGCAAGTTGGGCAGGAGTGTTGATCTGCTGCAGGGTAGGAAGGCTCTGCAGGGGGATCTGGAAAGGTTGGATTGATGAGCTGAGACTCAACAGCATGAGGCTCAACATGGACAAAAGCCAGGTCCTACACTTGGGTCAACAAACTACAAACCTCTGCAGCACTACAGGCTGGGGGCAGAGTGGCTGAAAAGCTGCTCAGCAGAAATGGATCTGGAGGTGCTGGTCAACAGTGGCTGTATATGAGCCAGAGTGTGTCCTGACGGCCAAGAAGGCCAAGAACGCACCCTGGCCTGTATCAGATATAGGGTGGCCAGCAGGACCAGGACAGTGATTGTCCCAATAAGCACTGATAAGACCACACCTCAAGTTCTGGGCCTCTCATTACAAGAAGGACATTGGGGTGCTGGAGTGTGTCCAGAGAAGGGCAAGAGAACTGGTAAAGGGTCTGGAGCACAATTCTGATGAGGAGCAGCTGAAGGTGCTGGGGGTGTTTACTCTCAATGAGGCTCAGCAGGGATCTTATTGCTCTCTACACTGAACAGAAACAGAAAGGAGTTGCACTGAAGTGGGGGTCAGTCTCTTTTGCCATGTCTCAAGTGAAAGTACAAAAGGAAATGGCTGTAAGTTGTACCAGGAGATCTTCACATTAGACATTAGAAAAATTTGTTCACTGAAATGGTGGTCAGGCCTTGGAATAAAGTGCCCAGGTCAGTGGTGGAATCAGTCTCTGGAAGTGTCCAAGAGGAGGCTGGATGTGACACTTGGAAATACGGTTTAGGAGTGCTTATGGTTGACACTTGTATTAGACCATCTTGAAGTTTTCATCCAACCTTAATAATTGTGTCACTCTGTACGCAGAAGTTTAACAGCTCTTCTCTCACCCTGGCTATTTATCCCATGATACACAAGTTGTAAAGCACAGCAACTGCCTAAAAGCTTAAAAATACTTTTTAATGGAAATATTTGCCACTTCATGAGAAGCCAAAAGTGGTTTTGCATTTCAGATGCACCTGTCCTAAAGAAGCCTTCTCAAAAGTCAGAACTCACCCAAAGAAAAAGGTTGTTTGGTCCAAATGATACAAAATGTAACTAGATGTTTCTGTTTTGGAAATGAAGGAGGAATAGTAATATTATTCCACAATTATGTGTTTATGCATAAACACATAATTCCAATTATGTGTTTATTCCAATTACCCCGGTCCCAAACAGAATGTGACAACAGCCTTGCTACCTAGATTTTCTGCTCCCTTGTGAAAGTGAGCATTTTCAACAGAAACATGTCCTGCCCTGAAGTTCAAATGCAACTTCCATACCTTACTGCACATGCACCATATCAAGTTCAAAATACTTAAACTGGTTCACCTAAATAAACTTACAGCTTCTGCCCCCACAAACATCTTAATGTTCTCTACAGCTAGAAGGAGGTCTGGTCATTTACTTAGCAGACTTTATTTGTTCATCATCTTTCCTTAGCTGCTTCCCAGTTATCTGTAGATCATCAAAATATTTCTTCTAATATATATATCAATGATAAGGGTGAGCTTGCTTTGTGAAAGCAAATTTTTAATGTTTGTAGTTTTCAATCTGTTTTTTAACTTTAACCTCAACTCCTTGGACGAGCTCTAGTGCATAAGAATCAGACAGGTAACTAGTTTTGTACTTGATGGTGCAAAAGATTCCTGTACATTCTCCTGCAGATCTCCATGTGCACATAGGGAAATCTCAATTCCCTATCAGGAAGTTAGCAAGCTTACTTAAAGGACTGAAAATAAAACCTGAGGTCTTGCAAGTTTTGCATATCTGCAAACCTGCAAAAACAATGTCATGTCCCTGTCCCTTCCCTAGAAAGCATATATTGTCCTCAAATAAAATTAACGCCCCCACAAAGGGAATTCTGAGCAAAGGCTGAGGAAACTATGTACAGAATTGATAGCCTGCTAACCTTTTCTATTTGAGTTTTCTTTCTCATATACTTATGCATCCCAACCAATTTTTGTACTTTAAGACAATTAAGTCTCTAAGCTTAAGCCCACAACACTAAATTATGCAAAGCTAGAAAATTTGTGTTCTTTTGTCTCAGCAGCATATTCGTTCTTCTCCAGCTTTTTTCTACTTATTGTTTTAATGCTTTGTGACAAAGGATGAAAAAAAATAAAATGGACCACTTCCATGCCAGACCATCCTACACTAAATAAAGAATAAAGAGAGATGTAAAATTCTGATCAAAGTCAAAGAGACTTCATAACATATACAATAATGTCAAAAAGCCAGCTCTGATTGGTTTATCATTTGTATGACACCTAGCAACAAGACTGCATGAGATTTTCAGAGTTACAGCAGATAATCTGAGATCCACATATTTCTATTCACAAAATTGCAATGAAAGCCTCTAAGCCTAAGCTTCTGTTTTTTGAAGTACAGCTGTGTCCAGCACTTTGGTTGTTTGGTAAAGCAAAAACCAATATTTAAATACATCTTGTAATGAGGTGACACTAACAAATTGAGTATTTTTTTTGTCCTCCCTCCCCCCCACCCCTTTTTTTCACCTTTTTCTTCTGTTATGTGCTGTATGTACTGTTTAACATCTGCACACTTCAGCAGCAATGGGCAGCTAGGGTACTCTGAGTCTAGCACAACTTGATCAAGTGGCTGGAACTTTCCTTGCTGCTGAAAGTACATCAAAGGGATTACAAAAGCATTACTAAAATGTTAAGACACATATATACACACTACACATATGTATATAAATATATATGCATGCAATGGCAATAGTTTTAAAATAAAGGATTTAAAGAAGATTGTATTTTGAATGGTAACACATGACACATTCAGAAACTGATTACAAAGCAAGCTATAAATATTTATTTCAGACGAGTAAATACCTGCAAAATGCTGAACTCCTCAAACACTACACTTAAAAGGCCAAATTTAAAACATAGGGAGAAACTAATGTGAAGTACAGCAGAATTTTTTGGAAGATGACATAAGACACAGTAGTCAGTGTGAGCCAATAGTGTTTTAGACCAAAACCTGTTGGATTAAACCCAGTGTCATAACTTCCAGTCAAATTTTGCTTTTTCTTCCACAAAGATAAATCTCGAAGGAGCAGGGCAGCTTCTGGAACACAGTATTAACCTTTCACCTCTGCAAAGTCAATTCCAGTTTGGCCAGAGTAGGGATATAAAGTGATTTTGGCACAACTTAAATAGCCCCACACATGACAGAACCATCAAACAAATTTTGCCATTGCCAAACAATGTATAATCATTCAGCATGGTTTGGCACAACTGGCAACCTTCCCTTTGGAAAGATCCTTTAGTGCATCAGTACAAAGACTCTGTGAACTTCTCATGCTCAGAGAGTGCATGATCTCTGCAGCCAAGGCTGAACTCATTACACTGGTCAGCATGAAAAACCCACTTGGAGTACACTGCTTTCATTATTAATTAATTCTCTTGCTAGACACTCAGAGGCTTAATAAAAGTAACCATCTATTGTTAAATCACAATAAAAACAAGGAAAAAAAAATCCCAAACACACAAAAAGCAGAACTAAGAAAGTATTTAGAGGGTTCCTTCTCCTTAAAAGGGAAAAGGCAAAATAACCATGGAAAAAAGAAGTTAGGAGACACAAAAATAAAACTGCAACAAGCTCTTTCTTGTAGGTAACTTACCTCTTTGTGTCCCAAAACAAGATAGCTGCATTTACATCATGCATGGGCACAGAACTTAAGCCAAGAAAGGTGCTGTATAGGAGATGGCTCTGCTCAGAGACACACCAAGCAATCCTGCATCACACTATCAGAATCAAAGGATAGTGCAAAGGATGATTCTATCATATCCAGTGATATCCATTAGTTCAAGCTGGAAGTGACTGTGCTTCAGTCATGCTAACCTTGCCACAAGACTGTAGAATACACTAACGTAGGCAAGGTGCTGCAGGAAAGCATTGGCCCTTTTTTAGGACCCACAACAGCTCTATGCATTTATGTGGCATCATGCCTGTCCCAGAAAACCTAGAAAACAATGTACTGAAAAAGTGAAGGGCAGCACAGGACTCTTCCTAAGCACAGAAACAACAGAAGTAGCTGTCCTTTACTCAGGCTTTCTCAACACCACTCCACATAAACAGAGGAGATTTACTACTTCCCTAATTTAAGTTTGGTATAAAGCTTTCAAAGGAATTATGAATTCAGAGTGCAGTGCCCAGGGAACAAACTGAACTACTTGTGGAATGACCTCTGAACTACTTGTGGAATGACCTCTTCTGATGGACCAGCCTGACTGATATACAGAATACATCTGCACACCCTATACCTTAAATAATTAAAAAATCATGATGGAACAGTAACATAGTATTACAGAGGTATAGGAAGACTTTATATCTTCACCATAAATAATCTGTTCTCCTGTGTTGGAACTCAAAATGTCTCTCAGACATTTTTAGAGGTTCCAGGCCTTGGTCAGAAGCATTTTAGACCCTGACAGGCAGCTGCAAACAGCTGTGATTTTGAGTTTGAGCCATGGAATGAGTTACCAACTTTGAAGGTGGAACAAGCAGTCACAAAGGGTTAGATAGTATAGTAGAAGTAGTTACAAAGTAGAGGGGAAATTTTTTTAGTATTGTACAGGGGGGTTTTAGGACTTGTACAGGGGGTTTTTTACTTTGTACATGGGGGTCAGAAGTTCTAAGATGGAGGAAGGTGGGCTGATCCTGTTCTTTCTCCTTTTTCCTTGCCTCCATGTTCTTGGTGATGCTGGCACTTATGGATTCGTTTAGAGTAGAAAAGCACCTTGTAACATAGGTAGTAGGTATTGGAGAAAAACTGTAAACATGTAATACATAATATATCATATAAAAGATAGCAGCAGCCCTGGGCAGGGAGGGAGAACAAGAAGACAGCAGACAGAGAGGATGTCAGTGTGTGTGTGTGTCTCTGCCTGGGCCACTGACCAAACTGCAGTAGCCAGAGAAGACAATCTTTTAGATAACTAACAATAAACTGCCTTGAGACTGAACAGCAAGAGGTTGCGGAGTTTTTCTTTGGAAGCACGGGTTGGAGGAGAGACTTTACCACCACACGGGACCCCAGAGCAAGGCCGGGGTTCTCACACTCCTGCATTCTCCACAATCTAAAGCAGAAAATAGCAAGCAACCTTATAGAAATTCTTTTAGAGCAAAAACTCTTAGAATGCATAAAGTGCATTGTCCACAAAACAAAACAAACAAGAAGAGAAATAAGAAAAAAATCAACATTTCGATTTTATTTTGTGCCCCTTTTCTTCACAGGTTGCTTATTAAAAAAATCAGAAAATGTGCCTATGATTTTTGATATATTTCAGAAATTAAGTGAGGTTTTGCTACACCCACGATAAATCAATGAAGCCATTTTTTAATTACCCAATACTTGGATACTCAATCATCCCATTCTGTTCTACGATATGGCATCTCTACAAATGTGGCTGTTTCCTTTCAAGTTCAAACTGCCACAGAAATGTTCCTCCTTCCTCCTCCACAGCATCCAAGTTTTTCTTTCTTTTCCCCTTCTTTCCCAAAATAACCATTTTATTGATGCCTCAGAAAGGGCTCTGATCAAAAACTCAGAAAGGTTTTGATCTGATGACATGTCAGCATTTTAAATTCAACAGTTCTGAAAGAGTCTCTCATAAAAAGACAAAAGAGATTCTCCTCTCTTAAAAAAGGTGATTAGTGTTTGTTGAGATTGAAAGCTGACTCTTGTAACATAATGTACCAACTAAAAATCTTGATGCAAACAAAAATACTTCTAGGTATTAAGATAATTCTGCTTTAAAAGCAAATTAAATTTCCATTATTATGGAAGCCACTCTTTGTAAAATTAATAGAACTGTTGCGTAACTGAAGTCAGAAATAATGTTTTCTCCTGGGAATTCCAGATAGAAAAATAAAGCAGGCTTACCTCTTTGTCTGCCTTTATGAGGTAGTAAAGTATCAGAAATAAGGGATCCATTGGTGTAACAAACAGCAGGCGCCCATCTAGGTGACAGACATGCAAAAGTAAGCTTCTACAATAGATTGACTTTTTTTTTAGTAACTATCCCAATATTTTAATAAAACAAACAGAAAAATTGTATTTGTGATTTTATATTAAAAAACCAGAAATAACTCAATTGTCTACCCTGCCAAACCAAAGCACAAACTCCAGTTCTGGAGTTCTGCTTTATGTACTCTGAGTTTTGCCTTTTTTCTGGACTGTATTAAAACCAGCAAAATTGAAGCTGCCCTCTATGGGCAGATTTGGGGGCAACAGAAATTGGATTGGTACACTAGAGATATTCAGCAATACTCCACCTCTAGCACTGGACAAGGTAACACTGTGCTGGCAGGACAAGAAAGAATTTCAAAGGCTAGTTAAGTGAGAGTTGCCTTCATTTGTAAAAGGAGAATCTGTTGCAGTCTCCTAATGGAACAAAATAAACTTAGATCAGAAAATATGGCCCAGTGTGTTGCATTCAAGGTTACACACAGAGGAAGAACTTGGTCTCCCACTGAAAGAGACACCTCTGCCCATCTGGAGTTCATTGCAGGACAATGGCTTAGTCAGGCCTTTTGTACAACTGCAGATAATTGGAAACAATGTAACATCAAGGAAATTCACTAATGAAACCAAGTAATTGATGACAATTTGATAGTAATTAGTAAACCAAAAGCAAATAAATGTAATATATTTTTTGTTTTAAAGCACATGATTAAGATAATTAAAGAAAAGGAAATCCTATTATGGTGACCCTAAAATTAACAAAAGATCATGTGGGAAGAATTTTTTTTGGGCAAAGCTGGTATCCAATCTACCATGTACTACCAACATGATGCTCAGTGTGAGGCAAAGCAAGCATCAGGACTACCTACAAACACAAAAGCTTTGCTATTGAAATTGGGAGGAAAAAGACCCACTTTCTCAAAGCTTCCATTTAAATGCTTTCTACCCAAACTCCAGGAAGAGTTATTTTTGTTTGTTCTGAGGATTCAGATTCACTAGAGGTGTATAAAGACCTCTGCCCTTCTCTGCAGATAACCAGATAATTTGTTTTAACTGCAAACACACAGTTTTTTTTTTTTTTTTTTTTGTGGTGTTCTTCTCCTGATCATTTCAGAGATACACTAGCCCTAACATTCAGGAACAATTTTTCCACTGTATTTTTAAAAGAAAACTGAGGGCATGATTTCTTAAGCCAACTGTTTCCCAAGGGCCAAAATAAAGGTTAGAAAGGGAGAGAGAGAACACAATGTGGACATAATTGGGAGCAGGGAGCAGACCCAGTCTGTTGGCTCACCCCCAAGACAGAGAAAGGAAAAGCTCAGAGACATACTGCTTGCATTGCTTTATGTGCCTGCAGAGGATGTTTAAAAGTTAGCACACACTTTGGGATATTACCGTTAAAGAAGGCATATGTCTGGAAGGGTTGCTTTTATTTATTACTATAAATGGACTTTTCTCTAATGGAAAGAAATAAAACAAATATACCTTAATCTTCTGAATTAATACTTATGGACATGCTGGTCTGTGGACATGCTGGCAGAGAAACACTGCTATAATGACATCTGTACTGAAAATAGATTGTGAAAACCATCACAAGTAAGTTACACAAGCTTCCTCCTCATTTCAGAAGGGTGTGCAGGATCAGAGAATGTCCAGGATAGTACAGACCAGCTGCCTTCGGAGAGGACACTGAAATAGGAGCTTCAGACCACTCCTGAGAACCCAGCACTTAGGCTACAGACTACAGAGGCAATTTAAAGAATGCAAGACCATACATTCCAGTGCTTAGAGCTCTAACACACCACTTCGCTTGGCTAGCTAAGGCCTTCCAGCCCTTTCTTTTCTTTCCCGTAGGATAATACATATTAACTTACACAGAGGACTTGCTGGTGTGATTGACATGGAAAGCTAACTATTTTATGGCACTTCAGTTTAAACACAATTGAATTACTTACCCCTCCTTTCCCCTTCAAGAGATGACAAATGAACATCTGTCTAATTGAGGCTGCCAAAGGCAACATTTTAAAGAGAAATGACAAAGCCCCCAGCCCTGGCTAAATCTATATGGCAAATGAGTCTATCAGAAGGTGGGGATATGATGCAGCATGTCTCAAGCAACTAGGAAAACACCTGTAAATTTACTAGAAGAAAGAGGGAAAGTCTGTGTACAAACATTAGTTAAAGATGGGGGAAAGACACATTATCCAACTCACCCTGTTGAACAGTCTGACCTATAAACCAGGAACGACATTCCTCGTGAAAAGCTTTTACTTCAAACAGCTGCTGTGCACCACTATTGAATAAGTAAAGGGTTGCTTCCCCTGTTGAAAAGAAATCTGGTTTGTGTTTGTAAGCTTTCAAAAAAATCAAAAGAATAGCCAATATGTTTGAAGAATGCGCCTTATATACATACAGACACACAAACATACACACAGTCTATATAAACTCACTACAAAGAGAGCTCAGACAAAAACCACTATTATATACAGATGTTCATTTACCAGCTCTATAAACGAAACTGAATTTGAATCAATAAATAAGATGTGTGAATAGTTCATCTTGCAACACAAAGTCTTTGATCCAAACCCAAATCAAAATCACTCAAGAAATCAGCTTTTTTCTACAGTGAAGAGGGAAGGTGAAAACCAAGAGAATTCCCCCTCCTCCCATCATGTTTATCTTGAGGATATCAGACTCTGGGTTAGGGAAGCAAAAGTCTCAACCCTTTCATGGACAATTTGAAATAATCTTTTTTTTGTGCACCAAAATAGATTGTGATGACTCTGTATGGGTAGATATATAAGTAAACGAGGAAGCAAGAAGAAGTTGGTTTGAAGTGCCCATCAGAACCTTAATAGTTGGGAAAGGAAAAGAAAAGCTTTATTTTAGGTCATCCCATAACACAGCTCTACCATTTTACATTAGTTTTGGGTTACAATGAAAGGGTGACAAACACACTGCAAACAAGACTGGCATTTTCCATATCTGAAATGGGAAGTTGCCACAACTACAGAAGGGGCCACTGAAATGCAGTCAGCTGAGTCTGTTGGCTGGACTGCTTCTATCTTAGTTATCAATCCATCTTCAAGAAACAAGGACAACTACAGCAGGGCTGTCCTGCTCAGAGCACATAAATTGCAAAGGTGCAATAACTTGCAGATGATGGGCTGGCTCAGAGAAGTCTCAGTGTAAGCCCTGAAAGCTGACATCAGCACTGCTCTTCTCAGTCTGCAGACACTCCCAGGTGCGGAGGAAGGTCAGCAAAAATGGGCAGACACATGAATTCCCAAAAATTACTGATAATGCATTTTTTCCCCCTTTATCCAGAAGGCTGACCAGATGTTTAACCTCACTTAAGGATATACTTTCAGTACTCTGATAATTTTTCTTTTGGGTAGGGGAGGAGGGGAGCAATGAGTAGTCATAAGGGGGAGCAGAGGTTTCAATCATTACCATGTGCACCCTCAAAAAGGGTCTACACCACAGTTTGATCAGCCCCATATCAAACTACTCACAGAAGTGCTGACTGAACAACTTAAGACTCCTACCAGTGATTGTGCTAGCCAAATCCAGTGGTGAGCTATGAAATCTTGGGAAAAGGATCCTTCTTATTACCTAAATACAGCTCCTTAATTTATGTCATTATGCTATAAGGACAGCCACCACAGGTTCCCTATAGTACTGTTAGACAGGAACTGCAGGGGATGGAGAGAGAACCCTGACAGCTTTGCTCACAGCTTCACTGGTGGTTCTTGTGGTACTTCCGAATTGCAGTCTGATCTTACTTTATAGTCTTTGTAAGGAATAGAAATTTTGTTCTTTTTACTTGTCTACATAAAGGACGAAGTATGCTTTTATTTAATAAAGTTAGTATGAATTCTATAGTGTGCTTAGTGCACTGAGTCCTTCAGTGCCTACTTATACAGTATCTGGCATCAACAATTCATCTGTTAGACCCAAAGGTAAGGAAAATACATTAATAGTGTGTTCTCAGTTCTTCCATTTTCAGACTTTGTATTTATAACAGGCTACATAACTGAAAGTCTATGCAGGCCTATAAATAAGGTCCTGTAAATTCTAAAGGAACACACCCAGGCGATTACACTTTAGGTTTCCCCCAGAAAACTTTCCCAAGATCTCTGATTCTACAAGGTAAACAGATCTTTTTTTACACAGAGAAAAACAAATTAACATACATGCTTTTAAGAATATAACAAACTACAAAGGCAGTATGCCACAGCAGGAAATAATAACACAGGTGGAAAATAAATGTGGCTTTATATTCCCACTGTAAATCTGAGCAATCAAGAAACAGGTATCATGATGAGTAAGTGATTTAACATTCTGTATTATTATTTTTGACAATTTTCCTCTTTCAAGAACAAATATGGTTCCTATACTGTGACACTAAAATGCATTTGAAGACTCAGTTACACACATATATGTAAATACATATAAATACAAGCAGTCAATTTCAGACCAAAACCATAAAACTTCAATCTACAGAAAGGAAACAAGCTCAGATAAAGGAAAAAAGCCAGTATGAAAAACATTTTTCAAACTGAATGTTAACCCTAACAAAGCCTTACTGCAAGGTTCTGTTGCAATATCACATACTCCAATTATTAATTAATCATAGAATAATTACAAATCCTTGACAAAAAGAACAATATGACTAGAGAAAGTAATGGTGGGATGGTGGTGTCATTTGTATTGCCTGCATTTGCTGGTCTTTCTCATGTATTTTGAATTCAAAATGCCTCATCCTCTGTTAAGGGGAAATGAGACACCATGACCTGGGCCACAAAAAGAAAATTAGATTTAAACATGAAAAGATCCACAATGCTTGGTAAGTACAAGTGAATCACATGTTCTAACTCTGTTTATTTTATAGCATAAGATGAATGCTAAGAAGCCTAAATTTGGATTTAAAAAAAAAAGCTTGGACTCAACACCCAACACTGTATACTCCCCAAAACTAATGCACTTAAAAACAGAACTTAAATTACACCCCCTTTTTTGTTCTGCCAGTATTTCTGATGAATAAACAGTTCAACCAATTAAAATTATAAAAGAAATCCTAAATGTTTGCACAGCATTAACCGTCTGGCATAACCAGCAGTATCTTTGGCACTTAAGACTTGTAGCTATCATCATTATTTCAGCTCTGCGAAATATGAATCTTTTGGTGGCGGAGAAAATCAACCAGAATTTTAACAGGCTCACGTCACAGTTCCAGAACTTGCCTGTGCTTGGGTTGCGCAGTTTTGTAAACAAGGGTTCGCTGTCAGGTGTCTTAGGGGGGTCAAGAGCAGCCTCTGTAGGGGGAGAGGAAAAAGTTATGAACTTGTAAATTGTGAAGTATTTCACATCTGCTTCACCAAGACATTCAGAATTAATTGGATTGACACTTTTTGAAAACACACACACACATCTGCCTAAAAACTGTATGCCTCAGCCCAAATTCATCCTACCTGATCAAGGCACTTAAATTATGATTCCAGACTTCCTGGCACTCTCTATCTGTCACAGGAAAGATATGCACCTGGGGATGATTTAGATTTTGAAAACCACTTCCCCCTAGAGAGCCTTCAGGCAAGAGAGCTCCTAAATTTGACATCTCAGTTAAGTAAGATGAACTGATATGCTGCCCTGATTAGTCACAAAGACAAAGAGAATGCTTTGGTTAGTTAGGCCAAACACAACGTGGACATTAAGGAAGTCCAAAAGGTAAAATACACACGGGAAGAAACTATCCTTTAAGACTTTCACAAAGTCAAATTATGCAGGAATTAGCCTATTCTAATTGTTGTATCTGTGAAAAACATGCACACTTATTTATCTGTTATGTATAAACTTGAAATATAAAGACTGCATTTAATTTCCCCCACAAGAGAAAGAAGCTCAGAGAATGTAGTATCTCTGGCTGAAGCCCCTTACAGTTATTTTCTCTCCTGTATCTTTGAACAAAGAGAAGATAAAAAGCAGAGCCACAAAAGCATAAATTTTTTCTGTGAAACTGAAAAAAGAGGGAAACAGCTACCACAAGGACGCTGACTCAAGTACAAAAAAACACATCTATATCCATCCCCAGTTAATTATATTCTAGCCAAGTTCTCTTTGTAGGGAAAATCTAACTTATATTTATGAAAACAACTTCCCACATCTCAGTAAAGAGCACCATGACAGCATCATCTTTCTTAGCCTGCAAATTGCCAGTTCTGCCTCAATTCCTTTCATACAGGCATTCATCAGAGCAAGGAAAATTACTAAAACATTTCACATATATAATGAGTATCCAGACCCCAGAGAATGGACTGACAGAGATCAGGCTGATGTTTGTGTTACAGTGCTGCTGAGAAAAGCAGAGAAGAGCAGTAGAGGCAGACTGCATGATTATTCAAAGGAACAGAAGTGCCCATCAGTTATGGGAAGAGGGAGCTGACACAATTCTTTGGCAAACAGGGAAGTAAGAACAACTGAAAGTAGCTGTCCTCCACCCTGCCTGAAAGCCCCAACATATCTGAAAAGGACAAGTGGACTTCTCACACTTGACTTTTCACTAACACCTCATGGGCAAAAAAGAAAAAGGTCCAAATAACTCCAACCTTCGTATCCACTCCTTGTTATTCAGTTGTGCCACCAACAGAAGTTACCCAGATAAAGACATTAAGTGGGACACAAAAAACAACTGTGTTCAGTGATAAGAGTGTTGAAGGGTAATAATTCTCAGAGTTGTTCAGAGAACTGAAAGACATTTTCTTCCCTTCAATACTCAACTGAGTCTTCAGGTGGCCTGAAAAATACTTCAAAATGTTTCAATACAAGTTGAGGGCTTTTAATGGAAAAAGTCCGTATTTGCTAACCAGACTTTCTTCATATGCTGATACATAAACATATGGTTGTCAAGCTACATTTGCCCTGGCAAAGGCGACTTTCCAATTTCTAGAGCTGTATATATTTCAATTCTTGACCACAGTTTAACGTTAGTGTATTTTTTGTTACTTTTTAAAACACTGAAGTGATTAATGATAGTGAAAGAAACACACTGCACGTGTTTACTTTGATGTGTTTCACATGAACATATTAAAATATACACAGTAAATGTGAGCTTCAAAATTTAAAACAAAAAGCAAAACAAAAAACCCCAAAGGAACTTTCAGTGCTCACTTGTTCTGCTTTCTTCATGCATAGATTGATGAACACCGGGAATGAGTCCAACTGAGCCTGAAGTTGCATCTTGTCAGCAATTAAGTCGACAATCCTTCCTAATTTTTTGTTGTTTTTAATGACATTTGCATCTTTACTGGGTTGAGATGTTATCTTCCTAACCTGCTAGTAACACACTGAATTTATCCATCTCTGCTAAGTCTGCCCCTACTGGCCCTGCCAGGAGCTCTTCCCCACGTGGTGAAGAGCAGTACAGCTCTGTCCAAAGGGGTTCTTTGGTGCTCCTCAGGCTCCAAGGGGCTCAGCACAGCACAGAGGGCAGCAGGGATCAAACCCCAACAAACAGTCCGAGTTGCAGGCTTCTGTCCCAGTATCTCATGGCAATGGGATCAGAGCGTCTATCACACTCTCCATGGCTGCCACGGAAAATAGTTTGCCTGAAGGAACATGCACACACACAAGAAGAAGGGAAGGACCGGGCAAAGGCAAAAGCGGTTTCTTTGAGTTTCTTTAACATTCAATTTCCTCAAAATGTAGGCAGTATTCCACTCCATTTCCAGGGGCATCTGAAGTATATTTTTGTTATAGATTGGCTTACTATATGTCAAGTTGGCAGACAAAAAAAAGAGGCAATTGGGAGAATGCCTGCTTGGAAAACTGGATGCAGTATTAATATGGCCTTAAGGGCAAAGAAGGCCCTATTTATCTGAATTTAAATACCTCATGACTAGGAAAATGCTGAGCAAGGGATTTTTAATGTTAGGTGTCCAAACCTAACTTATTTGTGTTCTGGACTTTAGCCAGGAAAGGTAAGTGGATTTCTTTAATGCCATTACATTTATCAGTCCTTCTATTTCAGCAAGGATCTCTTATAGCTAAGTAAACATGGACTTTTAAAAACAAGTACTGTAGTTATTTTCTACCAAAACTGAGAGTTAATCTGGGTTAGGAATTTTCTTTCAATTTTAAGGTTCACCTCCAGATAAGAAATCACCTTACAGAAAATAAACAGTAAAAAGTAACATACAGGAAGAGCTGTTTTGTTAAATTCTAAAGAAAAACATTGGATGATTGCCACTATGCTTATTATTTTCTTTTGGTAGTTCCCATAGCTCAGCCTTGAGGAACTTTTTCCCCCAAGAATACTTGGGGAGAGATAGGTAAAAGCTTTTTGAACAGTACACTTTCTACCAACAATGGCCCACAGTCAGGTCAGCTTACAGGTAATGTGTCATTACCACATGACTTTCTCCTAGGACAACATACACTACAATGATGTAAAAACTGATAGAAGGGTATGGAGGGGCTCAATTAATCCTGTCTCAAGGAGGTATCTCAGCCAGCAAGTCACTCTTTAAACTGCCTGGGAAGACAGAAGGCAGAAACCAGGAGGCCACTGAAGAAAAGGAGAATATATTATGGTGTTTCATGGAGGTCAGACATACAATCAGGCAAATTCTATAAAATACATAAGCAAAACAAAGTGAAAATGAACCAAAGGATTTCTGACAATAATTTCTTCCACAATGGATAGATATGAGGTACTAATGAATCTGGTAATTAAAACAAAAACGCGTTACCTGGTACAGCAACATAAATAAATTGAAAAACAATGCAAAACTCCCACTAAGAGCTGTGAAACTGTTATGGATGATGCAAAGTCTATTCACCTTCTTTTTGTTAAAAAATGCTTATAGAATACTACATATAACAGACTAATATCAAGTTATATGGAGTTCCCATGCAAAATGCTGCCAGCCAAGCAAGCAAAAAGGCTGTAAATATCTGTCAAATGCGTAAGAGGAAAAAATCCTCTGAGAGCACAAATTTCCCAACCACCACCACCCTGCATAGAAAAAGGACTATTTAAGTCTGGAAATATAAAGTTAAGATTTCATTTAAAAACAGATATTAAACCATACGTCACCTATACAAGTCTTTTCCATTCCCTTCTTAACTTCTAACTGTGCATGAAAGGTGTGTCAGATGGAGACATTATGATGGAGCCCATTAAATAGACATTTTATGGAAGACTTTAAACTATGTAGCCTAAGGGTACAGATAGGTTAGATCTATTAAACATTTTATTTGTGTTCTTTTCAGAATCTCAGCCCTCAAGAAAGAGGCTTTAATTCACTGTTCATGTCTTTGTTGTGCAGCATGCCCTGAAAAAAGCCTAGTGAAAATAATTAATAAATCCAGTATTTGTATCACCCAAATTTTTGGTAACTTTTCTATGTTACAAGGTAATCAACTGCAAGCATAATAAATGAATTCAGGTATGCACAGACTGAGGATACAGTTTCATAAATGGCTTCAAATGACCAAAGATCACAGTCCAGAGAAAACTGCAGTCCTGGGGTCCCCAACCACGCTCCCTTCTTGTTTTGTACCTCTTCTGCTTTTTTCCACCAAAACTAGCAAGCTCATGATCCCACAGCAAGTCAGCTCAGTTCACTCATCCAGCTGAGAAGTAACCAATGAAGAATTAAGTAGCTTTCAATCCTATCAGTAAGCCCACTGGAACAAGAGACAGACAGAACCCACAGCAGGAGCAGATGGTATAGAATATATTCTACTCCATATGTGACACAGGTCTCTTAGAACAGTACACATGAGTTAATAAACTAGATCATATGTGAATTTACAGAGTTGAGAAAGCAGGAGATGACCCACAGGTCGACATTGTTGCTTCCTCAGCTCATTTCCCCTCTGCAAACAGCCAATATTTTGCAGGTGCTTACATGGAAGGTATGGGTTTGTACCTGCCCAAACTTGATTTTTGGAAATAATCTTAATTGTTAGTCAGTTATGTAAACTTGATGTTACCTCACCACCTTACTCCTTCTATGACTGTACATAGTACTTGCTTCTGTAAGGGGACTTCTGCCAGGCCTATTGTAAAAGACAGAATGATAATCAGTTTGGTAATGGCATTTATTATTTGGTGCCCTAAGGAAACAATGTTCAGTGTGACATAATTTAGAATATTCTACAATAAAAACACAGTATCTAAAAATGGCACGGTTTTCTATCTTGACCACAACTTCAGAAAGAAACTTGACAGTTTGAATGGTCTTTTCACCAAGACACAGCTAGGCAATACAGCTAAATTTTAAGACTTAAGCCTGAGAGCATCTTTTGGCTT